GGACCCGCCGGCTGCCTCCCCCCGGCTTGTCCCGCTGTAACAACGATAAAAAAAAAACAACAAAAAAAAAAGTAGGGTTTTTATACCACCTTCAGTTCGGGGTTTAAGGTTTAATCAGCTGGTCTGTATTGCAGCGTGATTAGCAGCGTTGTACGTACACTTAAAAAACCCAAACACTTTTCAGTGGAAGGGAGCCTGTAGAAGAAGACCCTGATGGTTTATGAACTGAAAAAGCCCTAGGGTTAAAGAGCGCTAGCACCAAATGTATTTCTCTGTGGTACGGTTTACGACTGTTAATGTGTTAAAGCGTAATTAAGAACAGTGGAATAGACAAGCCTTCGGTTGTGGTGGGGCTCAGAGCTGTAATGTGCAAGCAGGAGGGGTGGCCGGCCTGTGCATGGGCACAGCTCGGGGGGAAGCTCGCTTCCCGCTCAACTGCTCCTTCACTCACACAGAAGCAGCATGTCGGTGTGACCTGCCTGCCCTTCTGGCTGATAATGTTTCAGATCCTGAAGTACTTCGGAGAGGGGGAGAGAGAGGAACACGCGCAAAAACTATCGGACCTTTTTGGTAGTGCTAAGTATGCCTAAGCATTTGTCTACTCTAAACTAAGCAGCTTCGTGAGAACCTGAACTGCCTGTTCATTAAGTACGTATTTAGTGCATTGTGTGTATTGTTCGTTAAACTGGGCACGGTTGCAGACTCTAGTGTAACCAAACTGAAAATGTTAATTGCAGTTTGGATAACGAACACGCATCCTAGGACTCACAGATAGTCTTAGGGAGTAAGGCTGAAGTTAGTCTAATACTGTGTATACATCGAGGCATGTCTGCTTAAGTGGTACTTACACCTCTAATGTCAATGAAACAGAGTTGTAACATGGACATAAACAAACCTCTAAAAACGTTGTGTCTGTAGTACTGACTTAGATGAGGCATTGTGATATGCTGCTTTTGTTTTTTTCTACTTCTTTTCTGCCCCTCCTTCCTTGAAGTCTAGGTGATGATGCTGTTCTACACGCTTGTGTTTCCATTTGAGTTGGAAGTGCCTGATCAAAAATTCTCTTGCACCCACAAAAAAAGCAAACATTTGCCTAGCTTGTAAAGTTAGCTTGAACACTGGATAGTTCTCAAAGGTGAGTGGAAAGGTTTCCTGATGCTGTTCTTTAAAAGGGTCATTTGCAGAAAACAATCATGTGGAATGCAAAAAATACGCTAAGCACCAGGAGGGTATGCTTGCACAGGATGTAAAATCTAAGGCTTATCCACCTGGAATAGCTTACTCTTACTCAAAGAAGAACCTTCATCTAAAATACTGCTTTCTCTGTGTGAGCTACTAAGAACAGTATTTGACTTTTGTTTGCCGATATCAAGCAAAACTGGCTTTTTACTGCAAACTTAGAGTTATCAATCTCTAACATGAACAGAAACAGGTTTAAGTTTACAATTAGCAGCAATGTCTTTGGAAAAAAAAACAACAAGCAAGGATGTTCTTTCACAATTTTCTTGATTGGCTGTACCTTAATTTGCTGCAAAGAGCGCTCTCTTCCTCAGTCCTGTGTTTCTGCTTGCATTGGCTCAAACAGTCATCTGGTCAACATTAATTTATTTTTTGTTAGATTTAGTATTTGTTTGGAACAAATACCTGCGTGGCCATATGTGTGCCAGAGGCAATGTATGTGAATTAGTAAAGGGAATGAGGGTCTGCTGTTTATCTTGATGTCATCATCTTGGATCAGTGTAGGTTCTTGGCACTGAACTCTGTCTTTCAAGTTTAAAGTTCCTAGAGTCAGTGTCAAACTACTAAAGTGGTGAAAAATGTGATTCAAGCTGTCATACACAGTGTAACTGGATCTGGTCTCTCCTTCCAGTGAAACCCTTTCTTTTTCTGTTAAAGTATCTGATACAGCAACACAGGAGATGGTTGGGTGCTTGTTACACCTGAGGAAGCTCAGTGAAGATACAGATGTGAACCCAGCTAAGGAGTAGGCACAAATCTGTTAAAGTTCACTTGTATATTGCTCTCCTACACTACCAATTGAAGTGTCTACAGTGTATTGGCTGTGAACAGCTGCTGTGGAGCTGTTTATCCTAGACATGTTCACTTCCTCAATGCTACGGCAGGCTGGTATGAGAGTCACCACAGTGGCTCCATTCTCTGCAGGAATTTATCAGGGAGTGAGCAGTCTTGGTGACAGGCTAAGCTTGCTTCAGTTGTCTTGCTGTTAGTACTTCTGAAATAACATTTTGCAAAAGAAGTTTCGTGATGGTGGGGTGGTTTGTTTTTTTTTTTTTAAAGACAACCAAATTGTGTATGTTATTGGAAAACCTTTATCGCATGCTGCAGGTCAGACTTAATCCTGAGTTGCTATTAAAAGTAGATACGTAACTTGTTTCTTTTCTGTTTCTAGCCAAGGTACAAGTGTCTGTCTAGAATGTCCAGGCATGCACAGCAGCTTAGAGACCATGATAGAAATCCATGTGTAGCGGTAAGATGATCAATTTGGGATTTCTCTTTGTATGTTTCAAAGTTAAATAATGTGATTTCTAGAGGAATTTTTTTTTGGCATTTTGCATAAAAAGTTTCTTAAAGAATCTTCAGTTTTCTTCTTAAAGAAACTGAAGATGGGAAAAGCTGAAAATCATCTGTTACAGTAAGTGTGAAATAATAACCAGTAATTCCTTATAAATATAAATTCCACAACTGATAGCAATCACTTCAATTTTCTGTCTGTAAAACCAGAGCCTGAAATCCTGGTTAGACAAGCTTGGTGGATTTTTAAGTGTCTTTTGTGGGTTATACCAAGCATCTTTGTAAACAAGTATTCTGTGGACTCTATCCTTACTATTTAAAGAGTACTAATGTTTGTTATCTCTAAATGAAGTCATTGCTTGGAATTACTGATTATCCTTTGTGATAGATGTTCCTCTGCTCTCTTTGATAGTATTCTTTCATCTGAGAAGCTGCCTCCTATCTTCATAGATATTCTGGGACTTGTTAGAATTTTTAGACACTGAGCACAGTAACTTCCCTCAGCTCTGAAGTGTGTTTTCCCTATTAAAGGAAACAGATGCCTCTAGAAAATGTATGGATGACAACAACTATAACAAGGATATGTGTACTGCTTATTTTTTGAAGTACAAAAGCTGCAGAAAATTCTGGGTAAGTGCAGTAGATTTTTCTAAGTTTTACTCTGTGCTTTGCTTTAAGTACGTTACTTCTGACACACTGGTTCCTGAACTCTTCAGACTTAGCTAGTGCTGGCTGCTACTGTTTTTGTAGTGACTTACAGGCCTAGGTAGTCTTGGTACGTGTTGCTGGAAGACTAAAGCAGATGCACATCCAAGTACTTCACTTAGTTCTCCTAAGTTTACCCTCTTAAATTGTGAGTCTGTTCTTGCAGTGTGTGATATGTTTCCCTCTGAATTTGAGACAGGTATTTCTAGTAATAAGTCCTATTTTAAATGGATATAACAAAGTTCTGAGTTAAGATAAATTCATCTGTGTTTCTGTTGGTTTGGGTCATGTTTACTTTAACCTAAGATAAAGCTTACAAAAAATTTGTTCTTACTTGGTGGTGTCCTTATTTCCTTCTCTTTTGTGGTAGAAAAGTATCACGAGGAACTATGTGCAGTTAAACTCTTCTCTGCTATTTTCTTTATGCTGCAGTAGTAAAGAGACTTTTAGCTTGGTCATTAATTATGCAAACTACCAAAAAACTACTTACAGACAATTGCACATTAGTCTTATATAGTGTAATGGGAATACTGTAATTTCACTGTCTTCTGAAGTAGCAAGGTAAACTATCAGATGTCGTCAATTGAATACTAGTACTTCAGTTATCAGCTAATCAGACAGAGTATCTGGCTCTTTATATATCAAGAGTACTTCTATTGAAGAATCTTATTCATTTGGAGCTCAGAGGCAGAGACTTCTGAGAAATCTGTGTTCTCATGGTCACTTTCTTCTATTTTCAGCATGACATTATGATGCAAAGGAGAAGAAATGGTGTGAAACCAGAGATGCCCTCAGCAGAAGAGAGAAAGAAAATCTTGGAATCAATGGGGAAGCCCTACTGACTAGAAACTTGCACTGATTGACTGTTTTCACTGTACATGTGAAGACTTATTGGCAGCAACTTGCCCTTTTATGAACTGGAATTTACAGTTGCTATATCTTGGATTAAAATAAGCTCTTAAATTTTGAAATGTGTGAGCTTTCTAGAATAGAACTTCTTGGTCTTGTTCATATTCTGTGTCGTGGGAACTTGGCCTCTTACTGGGAGACATGGGTTTCAACACAGCTTATGTCTACACACTTTGCAAGTAGAAACTGACTTGCTCTGAAATGCGAAATATAAAATTAATGGGACTCTCAAAGCCTGAAAAGAGGGTGCTGGCGCATCTTGCAGTGTAGTTCTAAGGATGGGGCAGGTTGAGAGGCTGGTATATGCAACATGTTTCTTGTATCCAGCTATTCTGCCTAATATTCTGGATTTATCATGTATGATCCTATCACTGTTTTCACATGATTTGTATTCTGTGTCCCTGGTTTAAATAAGGCTGTTCGTGAACTAAAATCCCAAATCCAGCAAGCTTTGTCATTAGGTCTGCTACTGTACTCATCAGTGACAGCAGAAGCTTGCAATAAATCAGATCGGCAAGGTTTGCTTGTTACAAGGTTAGAGAGGTTGATGAAGATAGAACTGAACTCCTCAGACCTGAACTGAATAGTGCCTTCTGTGGATAGTAAATAGATACTTCGCTGGCGGGGAGGCAGAGGGACTTGTAGACATGTAAACATATACTCTGAGTGACATGGCAGGTTTAACTATAGTACATCTATCTAAGACTCTGGACAGCTGAAGTCCTGGGTTTGGAAATGCTTACTCATACAAGACTACAAAGCTCAGTTTGAACAGGTACTCTAATCTTAAGATTGATTCCTTAACTAAGCTGAACAACTAGTAAAAGGAAATGGATTGCTATCTAGTGGAAACACTGTTTTCTTACCTTTAGTACCTTCAGGTATCCTAGCTTAAAAGCTTGCACCCTGTGGTAAAACAGAAAAAACACTGTCATGAGCTCAAGTTCCATGTGAAATCCTTTAGGACTTACTGCGATCAAGTTGGCAGAACTCTGGCTGACCTCATGGAGGATGGTATAAAAGTGTTGTCTCTCTATTTAGACTGTTTTGGAAAGACTTCATGGCTTCCTGTTGCTCCTTCTGTCTGGCTTGTCTTCTTTCTTTCCACTGGAGGCCTATTTCTATGCTCAGTGGGATTTTTACGCTGTTTCTACCTTTGCCCTTGTTATTTGACCTGACTAGCAACTAATGGAGAGCTGCTTTTCCTCCTCCTCTTCGTTCTATGTATTATCCTTATACATCTGAGTTTTGAAATGGATTGATCATACCCTTTGTGTCATTGGCAAGACTCTGCCTTTTGAAAATGCAGTTCTCTGAGCATAGCTGTACAGCCTCCAAGCCATGTCACAAGTTCTCTAGTCAGTTCCTGGCAAGGTCAATATGCTTTCTTCAATCAACATCATCACAGTCTTTATTTTAAATTGCTTTCTCTGTGCTTAAAATTCAAACTTTACTGACTTTTTTTTTTGGCGAAGCAGAGAAGAAACTCTCATCGTAGATTCAAAGGCTCGCTCTTGCTCGCCACCTTCTTTCAATACCCTCCTACATACCAGTCTGTCTTTTTTTTTTTCTTTCCTTGTTTAGCAGCAATTCTTTTTTACTGATTCAAGCATTTTGTTCCGTTGTTGTTCCAACATTTTTTTTTCTGGTAATTTTGTTCTGTCTCTGATCTAATGAAGTCCTGCAATGACTTTCTAATACAGCTCCTCTTGACGGTCTTGTGTTCTCTGTTCTCCCTGTCGTAGTAACTCCTTGCTGTTAGTAGTCAAACCTAGCCATGCTACTTCTTCACTGGCCGTGCCTCTATTCGATCTTCTTGTTCATCTGCAGTTTTGGGGGAGCTGATTGTCCCCTTCTCCTTAGGGCTGAGTCTCTCTGGACTCTTGTGGTTTTGCTGGTCTAAGGGCACCTTCTCTCCCACTTGGCACAGGTTTGTCATTTGGCACCTGTGCTGTATCTTTGTGTGCGTTCTTTGCTCCTATGGCTTTGGCTACTATTCCAGTGCTTGCTGTTTTCCTGTTACTGTGCCTTTTATATTCTGGGCTTACGTTAAAATCTACTGTATGTTTTAGTTCTATGCAAGAAAAGCAGCATCTCCTCTTGATGCGATTATGCTGATTCTTCCTTGCATAAGCTTAAGTTCCTTAAAGTAACCTCATTTATCCTAGGTTTTCCTTTCAAGTTTTCTTAGAGTGTAGAAATGCACTTTCTCGGAGGTTAATTGTTGCATTTGCAATTTTTTCCTGCCAATATTTACTTGGAAAGTTGCTACTGTTTTTGTTTTCTTTTAAAGGATGATTGACTTATCTTTAGACTTTAATAGATGCTTTGTACAGCTTTGTAAAGTGTTTGTAAAGAACCAGTACTGGACTTCAGAAAGTCAGAAAAAGAGATGCCTTCCCTGATTTCAAGTGTCAAAACAATGCAAGAATGTGGGATCACAGGACAGGCTAAGGCACATGTAATGCAAGAACAGTATTCTAATATTAGACTTCCTAATCATCAGTGGACACAGATGGGAAGCTCCCTGCGACTGTTACAACAAAACTGAGTTTAGTGAAGAACTGAGGGAAATTTAAACAGTGACCTTGTGGATTTGATTCAGGTAATCAGTCATCTTTTGTAGGGAATACCATTTATTCATTTATTTCCATTGCATGTGCCTTATGGTTACTGTTAAAGAACACAACTTTATGAAAATCTTGGATTTCTTCCTTATGTCATAATACCCCTCAAGTAATCCATTAGTTAAGTCTGAGTTTTCATCGTTTTTCTTCCTCACTGGAGGTTGCTGTTCTTGTTTTCACTATGGAAGCTTAAGAGTGGTTAGTTGGTAGCTATAATACAGCTGTTATGTATGAAATGGTTAAGGTTTTTCCATTAATTTTTGTAGTGTGATTAACTGTCTTTGGTTGTGAGCCAAAGGTAATGTCTTTTCCTCATAGCTGGGAGCTTATATTCCAACACTTCACTGAAACACTGAGGTTAGCTGTAGTCTACCAGTCTTACTAGGCAGAAATAAACTGGTTTGAATTCTTAGTTTTGCTAAAGCATACTGTTGTGTACGAAGCCAGAAAACATAACACAGTGACTGATATAATTAATTCAGAAGCAGGGAAAAGACCTGTGTGGTTTTTGTTTTTGTTTTTTTTTTCATTGAATAGGTGTAATTCTTCATTTTGCTTGTGGTACAAGGACCAAATCTGGGTAGTGGCATTAATGTTTCATTATTTTTTGTTTGACAGCTGGATGGTGCTGTTGCACAACAGACTCTATGAAAACAGAATCACTCCACCCACTACTGTCTCTTTCAAGCTTTTTTAGCCTCTTCCCACAGAGACAGCAGAATTCATGCAGGGGAAAGGGAAGATTGGTGCTGTCTCTACGCTATAAACAGAAGAGGAGGACAAGAGACTAAATCACTGCTGGAAAATAGCAGGTTTTTGTGCAGCCTGAGAAGCTTTGGAATATGATCCTTGAAAGAGTATTTTTCACTGTGGTCACTTGATCACAGCTGAGCACCGAGCAGCAGCTACAGGCTCTCTGCCAGGCCCCAGGTGAATGTCGGCACTCCCATCTGTACATCTTACTATCTTACCTTTCCCATTACCCTACAGCGCAAGGCCTTTGTGTGTTTGGCTCTGGAAGCTTTCTGCTGCCACAATTGGGATGAGTCTTGGAGGTGTTAGAAGAAAGTCGTCTAGTTTTAGAGTCCTGAAAATGTCTCTGGGTTTAATAGCTTGATAATAATAGTAATAGCTTAATAAATTGATGGGCAGGGAGTTGTGTGTGCTGCCGCTCTGAGTCTTTTTCATGGTCTTCTAATAAAACTTTTGGACTCATGCGTGCCTAAGGGTGTGCATACGGTGGAGGTTTCCCTAGAACTTGTGCAGAACAGATAGAAGGAATTTAGAGTATACAATGTTACTCTCCTCTAGTGCCTTTGGAGGCAGCCCTTAACTCATGCTAAAAGTATCTGCAACTTTAAAGCTGATCTTCCAAAGTAGCTATGAAAAAAAAAAAAAAATCAGAGTGTGAAAAAAGTTTGGAAAATAGTACACCATTGCAGGCTTTTATTCTCTTGCAAGAATTTGAGGCAACTGGAGGAAATAGTTCTTTAAGTATTAAAGTAGTAAAAAGTAAACCAAGGTTACTACTTCAGATTTTTTTTAAATTTTTCTTGCAGCCTATTTGATAGGAAAAAAAAATGCACGAGGGAAGTAGTGCATTTATACTGAATGCAGTGGGTCATTAAAATAAAACCTATACATGTGATATCATGTATGTAGTAACTAAGACTCATCAGATTTTGAATAACGTCTCTCCATCCTTTAGGTTTCTGTCTTGATGCCTCCTATCTCAAAATCCTTTTCTAAGAGTTTTCAGTTTTAAGGCCTTTAACATAACAATCTTCAAATCGCACATGATTACTTCCCTTTTGACAACTGAGCTGCTAAACTGAATGCAGCTAACTTGAAATTCCTGTGTAACTCACCTGTGTGTCCCTTCAGCAACCCTTTCAGTAAGCAAAACCTCCTGTCTTCCTCACACTGATGGTATGTTCTGCCCTCTGGACGCTGTTCTCCTGTTATACTATTTTTTGGATTTTTTCCTCAGGTACAATACTGCTTCATCTCCTGATTTCTATATTACCTTCTTGCTTTCTCAGTTGTGCTGCTTCCCACCCTGTCTTGTAAGGCTGTGATCACCATCCGTGTCTGAGGTTCAAAGTTCATTTTGGAGTTTTCATTCTATAGCTTTACCCTCCCTAAGCACCTTTGCTTCATCATCTGTTTTACAAGCTAAATTCCATTAGCTCTGGCTGGAGTATCTTCCATGCTCATATAGGAAAAAAAATGAATCTGTTATACAATGCATAAATGTCCATTTTTTTTACAACACTAAACACTATCTTCACCTTCAACCCAAAAATGCTCTTCTGTAGCTAATTCTCTGGGATTAAAAAAAAAAAAAAAAGACTAGCAGCAAACTCTTAAGATTACATGTGTATATCTGTATAAAATGCTAATTAGGTAGCTAGTGAAAGCACCTCCTGT